TGTAACTACTAATATTATGAGTTACAATATTAAAAAAGAGAAGAGTTGTTAGTATTGTTAGTATTAGTGTTAGTAGAAGTGAAAAGAATTAGTATTACTTCTAGGGTAATATTTACTATTACTTATTATTTATTCAGATACAACAATCCTAGACTATATGAAAAAATCTTCAAGGCATCCCATATTTTTGTTATTTGGTAATATTCTAAACTATTAGAAAAACAAACCAGAATCTAAGGCATTAATTAGATACCTTCTAATCATGAAAACCAAGGATTCTAAAACAAAAAATTCTGATAGTTTTCAGAAATTACAAAGAGAAGTCTTTTAGAAATGTATATCGATCCTTCTCAAGCTTATTATTTATGAATTAAAGTTTTATTTTGTTATATGCAGAAATATAATTATCTTTATCTCATGAATATTAACTATTATTGCTAACATACTTGAAGCCAATAAGTTTGCAAACATTTACTAACTAGCTTCTTCTACAAAACCTTATACAAAATGCTTAGTACTAAGAGATGACTTGAATAATACTAATTTAACAAGTATAATTCTAAGAACTCCAAATACTATAATGCAAGTGATAGATGTTGGTAATAATCTCAGTAATTCAATTCATCCTAAGACAAATGCATTTTGGAGTTTAAGGTATAAAAATTAAGTGTATTATTTTTAATTACAATAAATTATTAAAATAGTGAATATAGATATTATTTCGAATTTTAACTTGTATTAAGATTAATTCAGGTTAAAATTCGAAATAATATTCATATTTGCTATTTTGATAATTTATATTAGTAAAAATGTATTTTATAGCCAATAAAAATTATAGTAACTTCAATATATATAAAGCAATTATACCTGATCAAATGCATACTTTGGACCTCAGCCTTTTTAAGTATATACTAGATTATACTAAAGAGCTTTTATATGAATAACATGAGGTCATATTTAGCAAACTTTTGAGTAACAATTGATATCAATACCTAGATATTGTGATCTTAAAATAATGAAGAGCATAGATCTAATATACATTATAGCTGAAAAATTGTGAAATATAATGAAAATTATAATTATTATTCTTGATAATCTATATAAGGATTATAAAAGGCTAGGAATTAGTAATAAACAGTTATATCAAGTTTATTACAAATTTTTTCAAATATATATTGCTACTTGTGAAGAATTATTTACTTATAATTCTTATAACTAGCTACAGATATAAAAGCAAATCATTATCTTTTTAATAAACTGATTACTAATGATTAAAATCCACAGACTTTCATTATGAACTGGGCTAAAAAGTTTGTTAAAATTTTTTCAAAATACAATCCAAGTAGTTTTTAACTTCTAAAACTTCATGTTTGGTGTTATCATATTATCTCTGCAATTCACAAATATAGGTTAATAAATAGTATGACTACAGAGACCTATAAAACCCTATATAAAACTTATATAAAAATACCTTATCATATGTTAAATAAAAGAAATTATATAAGTACTTAATTTGTAGATCACTTGTATCAAATTTTCTTAAAAAATTTTTTAACAAACTAAATTTTTTCAAAAATTTATTAAGTAAATCAAGCAAGTGCTTTTAAGTAAACTTGCTCTACACATAATTTCATATCTTAGTAGCCTAGTTTTATAACTTTTGCTTACTTCTAAACAAAATTATATCTAAAAAACTAAAAGTAGCAAAATTTGAAAATTTCTTCAAAACTAGCTTTTAAATCTCTTCTGTACTCTTAAGTAAAGTTGTTAGCCAATCTATTCCGGTTATAACAAGCTCTAAATTATCTTTATAGTACAAATATTGAGCTCTCTAGAGTCCCAAACAGCCTTTAAAAATACCTATAAATTTTTCTTTTACTCTTAAAAACTTTTAATTTTCTGTTATACAAACCCTTACCAAATTAGTAAAAAATTACAACTATTACAAAAACTGCATCTTGCTAAATTTATTTTAATTAAATTAGCACAGCAAATCTTGCTAAAAATTCTAAACTAAAAATTTACTATTTTTACTTTCTAAAAATATAAATTTTCTATTATTATTCTGGTTCTATTTTTAATTTTAGCTAAATTTATTTTTAGAATATTTGTAATACTAACACAAACCAAATTTAGACTTCTTTCTAAAACCTTGGATTTAGATCTGACAACTCAGTATTTGATTCAAAAACTTGGAATTTGAACTGATAACTTGGTACAAACTCGACAACTCAGTACTCAGCTCTAAAACTAACTTTTGCTTATATTTACAAGCTCATAAATCTTAATTAGTCACTCAACATACCTACTCTTACTATAATTAATCTCAATACTCTTAACCTTGACTATTTCTACACTAAATATGCTAATAGTTATAAGATTGCTTTTGATGAGAAAAACCTAAGCAATACCCAGCCTATTTCTGCAAACATTAGACCAATAGATTGTATTACTAAGGCTCTTCATAGAAATTCTAAAACTACTTATTTTATCAAAGCTTCTAGTACTTCTATAATTTCTTTTTGTCTTTGTGATAAATATCACACTAATTTTATTACAATTAGCAAAACTGTTCTCAATCTTATGCCAACAAACTTTATAACATTTGCTGCAAGTGCTACTTAGACAAAATCACATAATTTATTCCTTCTTCTCCTACTCTAATCTTCCACAAATTTGCATACAAAAAATGCTAGTTGGCTATTCAGTGCAAAATTACAAATAACCAATACTACCTCTTAAACAATGCCAAATTTGAATAAGGTGAAGCTATTCACTATAGCTACACTATTATAACTACTTCATCTACTTCTAGTAACTCTTCTATTGCAACAATATCAGCTTTAGATGCTAAAAATCTTGATAATACAAAAAAAAATCTTGCTACTACCTTCAAATAAACTCTCTAACAAGATAAATTTACATCTAATTCTACTATTACTACTTTTACTTCATCTCCTAAATTGATTATACAAACTAATTTCTTAATTAGAGAACTTGCTTTATAAGAATTAGCAAAATATGAAAAATCCTCAACTATCATACTCACTAAACTCATTAACTTTCTAAACAAAACTCAAACTCAACAAACTAATACAATCTCTACTCCAGTAACTACTACTATCACAATAACCAATACAAATACTCTTATCTCTAATATCTATACAAACTAATAAACTATTAATAAAAGAAAGCTAAAAATACTAAACAACTTCAAACTACCAATATTAATCAAACTATTAATACTAAAAACTTAGATACTCTAAAAAAGAAACTTGAACCTATCTTTAACTAGCTTCACAACTTCGCTATCTCAGATAAAATGAAGTCTAATAACAAACTTCAAATCTCACAATCTAGACAACTTTTTGATTTTTTCAAAACTAATTTATATGATTTTGTCTCAAAAAAGGAAATCAAACCTGCAACTCAAACAAAAAAAGCACTTAAAGCTAGCTTTTACTAAATTATTAGAAATATAGCTAGACAATAGTCTAAATTTTTAACTGATCTAATTTTTCAAAGCAATTCTAATATTAATACAAATACAACAATTCTATTTAATATTTTAGAATCAATGATGAAAAAACTCATTCTTAAGTTTATAACTATTCTATTAACTAAACTTAACTATGCAGAAATTTTTGTATTACCTTATACAATTTCTCCATACAAAACTAATAGTAAACTTCAGTTCTGTATAAATCTTGCAAGAATTTATCTTTACTTCTCAGGAAATTATCAACAAGTACTAAACTACAAAAAGTTTGCAGAAGACTTTAATCTCTATTCTATGAGATTCACAGTATCTTCTGCAATTAATAGATTTGATCAAAAGAAAAAATACCTTATAATTAAACAAAACAAAAAATTTAATATAACCTTTCTTTTTAATATTCCAAAAACACTATTTTTAAAAAAATTTAATATTTCTTTTCTAAAAAATTCTTAGAATACTTTGAAAATTGGTTTGAAAAATTCTTTCCAGTTTACAACTAACAATTTGATAAACTATTAAACAAAACAAAAGTATATAATACACTTAAACACTAATTCTACTTACAATTTATCAAACAACTAACTCTGCTTCTTCCAACAGAATATGAAATAGTTAAACCTTAATGCTTTGATAATAGAAGAATTAAAAGTATCAAATACTCTAATCCTCATATCCTAATCTACAAGGATGAAACCTATATCTTCTTAGTTGAAGAATTGCATAACTTCTCAACTCTCATTAAAAGAAATACAGACTATTCTTATAAACTATTTCCAAAAAAAGGAGTATGAAATTTGAAAAGAACCCTCTCTTAAAATTAAAAATTTTGAACTTAAACAAGAAAATAAAACATCTTTCTTCAAACTAGTTCTAACTCAACTTCTTGACTAACTTGCAAATGAAGCTAAAAAAGAAGTCTGTGAACTTAACAAAGTACAAACTAATGCTAAATGCAGAAGTTTTTATTTTTACTAATATTTCAATTCTTATCATCATAAAGCAGCAGTGAACTTTGAAATTATTGATCTGTCAAGAGACTAAGCTATCGAGTTTACATATATCAAAACACTCAATATATTTATATTAGCTTAAATTCTAATATATATTAATATTATTTAAGATACAACTCCTACATACTCACAGATAGTTAAACACTTCTCCAAACAAGTATTCTGCTTTGCAGAAAAATACCTTAAAGTAAAATATAATATTAACTTCCAAGAACCTGCAAACTTAGAAGATTCTCTGTTTTTTTCTGAAACTTCTTTTCAATAAGGTTTTCTATATACATAGATACAACTATTACCTCTAATTTAGAATTTCATCTTACTACTCATAGTAAACCAAATTTAAAGAAGAATGATATAAGTAGACAGGTAGGAAAACCTATTTATGTAGCAACTCAAATAAATAATAGATAGACTCAATATACAGAGCAGACTTTTAAGTTCAATATAGCTGTGAAAACTGAGCATATTCTGAGTACATATATAGAAGATCTCTTAGTACTTCCAATTCCAACATCCTTAAAACCTTTTGAAGCATTAACTTATTACAACATATTCCTAAAATTTCACAATATTGATCTACTAAAATCTGATCAAACTATTAGATTAATCATGAAATATCTAAAAGAAAAATAATTTTCAAAACTAACAAGATTTTCAATTAACAAACAAATTAATAAAGCTCATATATATCTTCTCTGTAATGACAATATTCTCCCAAACTATATACCACTTAACCTCTTCACCTTCTTGCAATATTACCATACTCTACTTAGAACTTTTATAAACTTCAAACTTTCTAACTTTGACAATAACCTAAACATTTCTAACTTATCAACAAATTTCTCTAATAATTCTACTACACAAACATCTACTAACACTAATACTAACAATACTAACAACTCTTCTCTTTTTTAATATTGTAACTCATAATATTAGTAGTTACAATAATTCTCTTAAAAAACAACTATAGAAAGACTTCTGCCTTCTTTATAACTACAACATTATTAGTCTAACTGAAACTAAACTCAAAGACTCTAAATTAAAATTCTTTTTTTTTTTTGTTGTTAAGGTAGCTTACATTGCTGAAAAAATTTTATTAGAATTGTTAACAGGATTATATATTGATAATCCCTACTGTTTGTAATTATATAAAGAGTGTACAACAAGCCACATGTATAACTTTAGTCATTGTCTATTTTAAGTAGTCTATTGCATAGATGTTAGGCTACCTGATTGGTTCTACACTATACTGCTATACTTGTAATCTGCCTGTGAGTTACCTATTTAAACACTCTGTTCATTAACCCATACAGATCCAATCTAATATTACTGCAATACCTAATTGCTTAAGCCAGCTAGCTCATTACAGATCTATTCATCCAAAACAGCTTAGGTTCTCTTGAAATACATTATACTAGATATATTACTAGTATTGCAGAGCTAGTTAACCTCGAAGCAAACCTACTAGAGTGGTCTGTACCTATTTTATGAATTCACCTAGCTTAGACCCTTGTAGATGTTCATACAATCTCAAGTTCCACTGTGGTCCTCTACTGGTCAGTTGATCTAGTCCTTTTCTAGTATCTAGCTAGTTCCATCCAGAGACCTTGAAACCTTTTACCTTTATTAGACTGAGTTTTCTTCTTAGATCAGACTTTAGCTGATATAGTTCTGTCAGAAGGCTGTACTACTTCACTAACTTGGGATTTTTACTATGCAGGTTCTCTGCTTATATATTATATCAAGATTTATTTGTGTAATATTATGCTACACTTCCAAGTTCTAATCAATTTGGTATAACTTAATTAATAGGAGTACGTTCTCAGAAACAAACAGGATTTATGGTAATGTATTACAAGGTCTGAGAAATTATTCAAATTTGTTGATAATAGGATTTGAACTCCAAACCTATTATATGGCAGTCTAACAACCTAACACTATACTAGGTCACCAGACCTTCTAAATCAAAATTCTTCAATACTCAATATTTCATATACCACTTATCAAATTCTGCTATTTCTATAGAAGGAACTAGAATAATACTATCAAACAAACTGATACAATATATTCACAAAAATTTTTAAATATAAAAAAGGTGCAATTGCTATTGATCTTTTCTTCAAACATGACTTTAAATTTAGAATAATCTTAGTATATTTGTTCTCTATAGATATATCACATAGAAACTCTACATAAACTAAAGTCAGTCAATAGATCTAACAAGTACTAAATCAGCAACTCTACCTAATAGTACTTGAAGATTTTAATATAGATATCTCTACAACAAGCTCAAATAACTCAAAATCCAGACTTATCAACTTTTTTATAAGCAATAACCTATACAATCTCACTAACCATACTTCTAATACATCTTATATATGATATAATAATTAATTACAAACTAGAATTGATTACATATAGTATTACAAATCTATAATATCATACTTGCAAAAGTTTAGCCTAGTAGAACTATTAATATCTACAAGAAGTGATTATATGATACTTGTATCATTATAGTTATTTCTCTATGCTAACTTATCTAAATATAACAAAAAATTTAAGGAAACAGAAGAATTTTTGATTACAGCTCTATAAACAAAGAAACTTGAAAAGAATTCACAAACTAAATCAATTATAACTTAAACCAAAATAATACTTCAGTTAAATTAGATACTAATAATTCTCTTAAAACACATTAGCACAAAATTTAAACAAGTATTATTTCTGCTACTCTTAAAATAATATCTAACCAAAAAATTAAATTTCAGAACTTTTACTATACCTATTCACCAAAAGCTACACAACTTCACTAAGCTCTAAAATTAACAGGACAAATAATTCACTAAGTTAAACCCAAATTCAATAACAACCTCTCAACTCCAACTAATATCCTATTTCTTATTAACAAAATTAATCAACAACAAAATCTCAATATCGACAACTTCCTTTCAAACAATAATGAAATTCCAACATAGCTTAATAATATATATATATATTAAAAAACTCTATACAAAGCTCAAGAAACAGAAAACTCTATACATATCTGTTAACAAATCAATATAGCAACTAAAAAAAGATGCTTAGCTCTTCAAACACAGCTTACAA